AGACACACACACAGACACCCACACACACACTCGCACAGACACACACACAGACACTCACACACACACTCGCACAGACACACACACAGACACTCACACACACACTCGCAGAGACACACACACACATCAACACCTGCCTGCAGAACCTCACCAACAGGTACAGCACACACACATGAAGTGAAGGTGTGTGTGTGACGTTCTGTCTCTGTGTCCGTCAGTAAAGTCAATGGGAAGAAAGCATCTGATAATAAAGGGAAGAAGAAGCGGGCGACTCTCACGTACACAGCTGCACGTCTGCATGAGAAAGGAGTTCTGCTGGAGATTGAAGACCTGCCCGTCACACAGTACGACACACACACACACTTTACAACACAGATCCCATGCTCGATGCTGATTGGTCGATACAGTGTTCAAATACACTGATTCTGATCTGTCCGCAGGTTCAAGAACGTGATCTTTGACATCGTTCCCGGCGAGGAGGACGGCACGTTCCTGGTGAAGGCTCGTTTCATGGGTGTGGACATGGAGAGATTCCCGCTCAAATATCAGGTTCTGAGGGTTTTATTGCTGCAGAGCGTCTCCAGATGTGTTCCTCCTCCGTGATAGAAGCATGAGGAATAATCTGTGTTTGTGTGCAGGATCTGCTGCAGCTGCAGTACGAGGAAGTCGCCGTGATGAAGATGTTTGATAAAGCCAAAGTCAACGTCAATCTGCTCATCTTCCTCCTCAACAAGAAATTCTTCAAGAAGTGAATTGATTCCTGTGTTCCTGTAACACTCAGCACTGGTTTGAACACACTCCAGTTAAACCTGCTGCTTTATTTTCCCAGTGTAATAATTCTGCATTTATTTTATTACCCAAAATCACTCTGGATATATTCATGACGCTATCATATATATTCAATTATGAATCATTTGCATTTAAAATGAAGCTTTACTTTATTCGAGTGAATCACAGAAGACGTGTGAGAAGAACACTAGTAATACTAGTTATCCAGCGGTTATCAGGTGAAGTTCACCTGCGCTCTTTCAAGCTTTTACCGCTATTTTAGTGGAAAGTGTCTTTTTTGTGTAAATATTTTCTGTCTCTAATGAAATATCTTTGTATTCTTTCCTCGTCCTCTCGTCTGTTTTCATGTCGTTTATGAGTGTCCAGTCACTCTTTTAATAAATACGCCGTTTTTATTCACAATAAAACGTTTTGCATGAATAAACAGTGTTTGTGTCTCATTGTGCATGTTTTGTTCATTGAGAAATATTTGATATTTCTCACGCTGGTGGTTCTTAAGGCGTTTCATCTGATTCACCTGTTTTTCTGGCAGTGGTTATCGAAGCATGTTTCTGAATAGAAATCAGAAGAACTGCGACATCTAAATGAAGCATTAGGATCATCTTTTCAGGAGAAACTGAATCTGCTGGAGACTTTCTGCCTTTATATTTGAGTCCTGTCTCGTGCTGAGGTTTGATGACTGCTGCATACAGAGAGGATTCACATGGAACAGATTTGGCACAGTACGAGTACGAGTTGTCGAGCTATTCATTATAGTTTGTTTGATGAAAAAATATGAAATGTAGTTGCAATAAAATGGGTTACTAATCCCTACAACTGCAGCAGTGGAGGACTATTATTCTGTTGCGTGGTACAGCTGAAGAACTGATGACGGCACGGTTTGATCTTCGGCTGACCAATCAGCAGAAAGGGGCGTTTAATTCCCGCCCACGTGTAGAAATCAAATATTCAAGCTGTTTATTCATTTTTCTACCCCTGAGCGAAAAAAAGTTATCCAGCGGTTATCAGGTGAAGTTCACCTGCGCTCTTTCAAGCTTTTACCGCTATTTTAGTGGAAAGTGTCTTTTTTTGTGTAAATATTTTCTGTCTCTAATGAAATATCTTTGTATTCTTTCCTCGTCCTCTCGTCTGTTTTCATGTCGTTTATGAGTGTCCAGTCACTCTTTTAATAATACGCCGTTTTTATTCACAATAAAACGTTTTGCATGAATAAACAGTGTTTGTGTCTCATTGTGCATGTTTTGTTCATTGAGAAATATTTGATATTTCTCACGCTGGTGGTTCTTATTAAGGCGTTTCATCTGATTCACCTGTTTTTCTGGCAGTGGTTATCGAAGCATGTTTCTGAATAGAAATCAGAAGAACTGCGACATCTAAATGAAGCATTAGGATCATCTTTTCAGGAGAAACTGAATCTGCTGGAGACTTTCTGCCTTTATATTTGAGTCCTGTCTCGTGCTGAGGTTTGATGACTGCTGCATACAGAGAGGATTCACATGGAACAGATTTGGCACAGTACGAGTACGAGTTGTCGAGCTATTCATTATAGTTTGTTTGATGAAAAAATATGAAATGTAGTTGCAATAAAATGGTTTACTAATCCGTACAACTGCAGCAGTGGAGGACTATTATTCTGTTGCGTGGTACAGCTGAAGAACTGATGACGGCACGTTTTGATCTTCGGCTGACCAATCAGCAGAAAGGGGCGTTTAATTCCCGCCCACGTGTAGAAATCAAATATTCAAGCTGTTTATTCATTTTTCTACCCCTGAGCGAAAAAAGACAATTTAAGATGAATTCTCTTTTTTAAATTTTTGGAGAAAAAAAACGAAAAAGGAGCCGTTTTCTAATTTTTCTACTTTCAATATTAAATCAAAAAACGAATGATACACGGATTCTAGAGTATTACTGTTTTCCCGTTTGGTGTTTTTGTGAATTAACCATGATTTTTCTCTTCTTAGGTTATTATAGTTTAAATAAAGTGAAGCTTAATAAAAAAAAATAACATCCCATCTGTCAGTAAAACTATCAGGTAAAATATTTTGAATTTTAAAATCCTAAATTGTTTTCCTATTTGGTGTTTTTGTGAATTAACCAAGACAAATTTGTACCAGAAGTGAGCTAAACCTTTTTGTAAAAACCCTCAAGTGTTAAAACCGCATAAGAATCAAGTGTTGATTTAGTTTAAATAGTGAAACTGCTGTTTCCTGCCAGGGTTAGTGTGAGTTAGGTTATTTATAACCAGCTAAGCAATAGAAATCTCTGCAATGACCTGCTTGTATATCTGAGCAAACGTGTGTGGGTTTGTGAATAATAACTATCATAACTCAGACAGAGATGAATCACTGCACATTCTCCGCATGTCTAGAGGAGGAGTTTCTCAATGAGTCTCACCTGAAGAATGACAAGAACCGAGACCAGAGAAACACCAACGACAAGGTAACACCATCTCTACATATTATCATTCATCTTACAGAACTTAGTAACTTTAAACGGGTAGATCTGAGTGTTATATGAAGTTAGGAACGAGATCTTCACTTACTCCTGTTCTTCTTGTTGAAGCTTCATTAGGACAGCTGTAGTAGGGTGAATTCAGGTTTTTTTCCCAGTCATCTCAGTAGCTAAAACTGTCCCAGTTTATCTGACCTCATCCATGTAGTTGATAAAACATTTATAGGAATAAATGAGATTGAAAACCCTGTCGTTTGGAGCTTGTGCCGCTTGTGTAAAGATCTCAAATTGGCCCAATATCTGTAAACCGCATAATAAATATCAACACAAAAGATTCAGTGAGTCAGCTTTAAATACATCAACTTCAACCTTCAAAACTTAAGCTAAATTGAGAGCAATTAAACGATCTGGGTGTCTGAGAGAATCCGCGGCGGCGCAGGTTCATCTGGTTTTTCTGCTTGAAGAATGTGATGAACAATGACTTTTAGTTCTTCAGCTGAAGGAATGAAGACACAGGTGATTGTGAAACTCACATTAGTGTGTGTGTGTGTGTGTGTGTGTCTCTCTCTGTGTGTGTGTGTGTGTGTGTCTCTCTCTCTCTGTGTGTGTGTGAAGATGTCCAGAAGAGTGGAGGTGATCATCAACTCCTCAGCTCCGCAGGATCAGGCCGAGGCTCCTCTTCAGATCACAGAGTCGAAGCCCGGAGAGCATCCAGGAGTGAAGGGCTTCTTAATGATCAAGCCGGCGGTGCTGGGGGTGAAAACTTATGCTTTAACACATCATATCTAGTGCTGAGAGTCTCTGAGCTCGAGCTGAACCCATGTGTGTGTCTGTGTCTGTGCTTGTGTGTGTCTGTGTCTGTGTCTGTGTGTATATGTGTGTGTGTGTCTGTGTCTGTGTGTGTCTGTGTGTGTGTGTGTGTGTGTGTGTGTGTGTGTGTGTGTGTGATCCGGCAGTGGCTGGAGATCCTGACCGGTGCCGGTGTGTTTGGACTCGTATATTGGAATTACACTCTCTGGTTGTTAATACCGGCTTGCTTTGTGAGTCTCTTTTATTATATACACTAATGGTGAAAAGTTCAGAATAATGCGAATTTTTTTATGTTTTTTGAAAGAAGACCCTTCTGCATTCTCCGCCAGGGCTGCATTTATTTTAATTAGAAATACAGTAAAAATTGCTAAATATTATTCTAATGTAAAGCAGCTGTTTTCTATGTGAATATCTGTTAAACTGTAATGTATTTCTGTGATGCGCAGCTGTATTTTCAGCATCATTACTCCAGTCTTCAGTGTCACATGATCTTCAGAAATCAGTATAATATGCTGATTATTAGAAACATTTCTGATTATTATCAATGTTGAAAACAGTTGTGCTGCCCGATATTTTTATGGGGGGAAAAACCCAAAGTATTCATCAAAGACGCATTAAATTGATCAAAAGTGACAGTAAACACATTTATAATATCACAAAAGATTTCTATTTCAAATAAACGCTGTTCTTTTGAATTTTCTGTTCATCTGTAATGTCTGCAATGTGGTGACGGCCGTCCTCGTGTTTTTCGTCAGAGTCTTCTTTGTGTTTCTTGGAGATGTGAGTGATTGCTTCGTAGTCTCGTTCTGATCACAACACATCTAATGCACAGACAAACTAATGTTTGCATCAGCTTACAAGGTTTAATCTGAAATCAGTTTGGATTCTGACAAACTTTCATGCATGTAAACATACCTAGTCTGATTTGAATTATTGCCATACAAGTAACCTTTTTTTTTACAGTGTAATGATTAAATAAATTCATGTGTATTCATAACGCCGTGTTCTGCTGTTTGCTGTAGATT